TAGGAGTTTAGGCTATGGTCCATGTAGCGTAGGGTTTTGGGGTTTAGGGTTTGGGGTTTGGGGTTTAGGGTTTAGGGCTTGGGGTTTGGGGTTTAAGGTTCAGGGTTTAGAGCTTGGGGTTTGGGGTTTAGGATTTAGGGTAGGTGTATAGTATATACTTAGGCCCAAAGGGGCTTCCCTATAACTACTCTGGAGCCCAATAATCTACTATGTATCTACATTGACATTTTGGGAAAGTGAGTGGCCGTTCAGGGTCGTATTTGCCTCAAAGGGCGTAGATTCAGGTTTCAGGGCAGAATTGTGGTTCAAGATCCAAGGACAGGAGCTTGAGGCCCAGAAATTCTTCTGTTCAACGGCTTGAGCCGTCATAGGTTCAGTTTCTGAGTTCCAAACGTGCAGACCTGATGTAGTTCCTGGGTTGAAGAGTTCAGAGGTCAATGAAAAAGACTGCACAATTGGAAGCTCATCCCCTATGATTCAATTATTCTTTTGACATCATACCATATGTCTACGAAGTTGTAATGATCTAAGCCCCTTTGCCAGTTGCAACAGAAGGCTGGACAAGTCAAGGTGTAGGGTTTTGGATGTAGGGTTTAGGGCTTAAGGAGGTCCAGTTGATCAGAACTAATGCCCACTTTTGCCGAGACCATCCAACTGTGTAGTTGCGCTATACTCAACTTCTTAGGATCTTAAGACACCTGGATCCTGGATGTCCTACTTTTCAGGGATAGACCTTACCAACATGGGGCAAAAGCCCAAAAGTGAAGGCCATGCAGTGTGCAGGTGCTGGGCTTATAGGGCCTGGCTACTGCGCAGACGTCAGGCTTTAGAGCTTAGGTGGGTTTAGGGTTTGTATACCACACGCCCTAAATCCTGAACCCTAAGCCCTAAACCCTAAACCTTGGGTACTGCCCCCCCTCAGTAACAGTTGGATACTATTTATAATATAGTTATATGTAGCCCTTAATAGGACCCCTAATATAGACTGTTACTGGGTGGGGGCAGTACCCAACCTAAACCCTAAAAGGTCAGCGAGAGCGCTCCTTAGGCGCAGTCTTTGCTTATAGAGTTTGGGGTTTAGGGATGTTAGAGTAATCCAGGAATATTTTCCCCAGGTAGCAGGATTTTTTCGGGATCCCCGAAACGTGACCTTGAAACTGTAAGCCCAAAAACTTGAACTTCAAAAGCTAAAGCCTAAATCCTAAAGCCTGAACCCAAAATTCCAAGAGCTTCAATCTAAACTTGAAAGAGCGTCAGAATGTCTAAACCTCTCAACCCAAAACCCCTAAACCCTAAAAGCCTCAACTTAAAAGACCCTAAACCCTAAACCCTATACCCTAAACACCCTAAACCCTAAACCCTAAACCGAATGTCCAAAAGGTATTCTGACTCCCAAGCCGCGGTGCGCGCGGCGCGAGCGGCAACTGCGCTCCGAGAAGCTCGCCTGCGAACTCCCTGGATATAGCTGCCCATACTAAGGGTTTAGGGGTTCAGGGTTAAGGGTTTAGGGTTTAGGATTTAGGGTAGTAGTAAGCTGCCCATACTTTTGGGGGCAGCTAAGGAGCTACGGATAGTCTATATCAATATAATAAGGGGAGCTAAAGAGCCCAGGAATCTCCAAAACCATAGGGGAGATAGGGTTTTGTTTAGGGTGTTTAGGGTTTAGGGGTTAGGTTTAAGGAATGTTTAAGGTGTTGAGGGTTTAGGGTTTAGGTGGGTGTTTGGGGTTCCATGTAAAGGGGTTGTAGGGATACATACATATATATATATACATATATACATGCACAGTTCAGGCGGCGCCTCGGTGGCAATATATAGAAACCATAGGACGACAAAGCCACAAGCCCAGACATGAATGAGGCTTCCCGAGGTCTAGATACTCCTGAATTACTAAACCCTAATTTAGGGTCTAAAACCCCTAAACCCTAAACCCCTTGTCATACCCGCAGCGATGGTCCGCCCTAAGCTCCTGCCCGCCAAAATCCCCCAAAGCCATCCTCAGATGAGGCGAGGGCAAACCTGTCCACCAGGGTTTAGGGGTAGAGGATTGAGGGCTTAGGCTATAGGGTTTAGCGTTTAGGGTTTAGGGGACACCCTGATGAGTTGTAAGCACGAAGGCATGGCATAGTTGCACAGCAATACACGTCTACCCTGACCTGCTGTCAGGCAACAGGGACAATTAGTGAGAGCTTTCCACGCCGTGCGACTTAAAGGCTGCACCGTAACGGCAGTTGGATCCTTCAACTTTTTTCCTTGATGGAACCAGCAATCTGGCGCGTAGTTGAGGCGTCAGATTTTAAACGCAGAGAGACCTTTGCGGAAGACCTCTTACTCCGGGAGTAGGCAGCCTTATCTGCCTGAAGCGGCACCGCAACACGAACTCAAACAACAGTGTACCAACAAAACTCGAAACCCTCCAGCGGGGATTTAAGGCGGGCCATTGTATCGACATAAAGTGGGCAGCGGATGCCTTATAGGGGATTCTATGAAAAGGGACAACTATATGGCTTATCAAGGAGGATACTGGGAGTTTAGACTAAAGTTCCAAGCTTCCCCCACCCTAAACCCCAGACCCTAAACCCCAGACCCTCTGTGACCCTCTACGCCCTGTACAAGAACTTAGTCCCTCCAACCTAATGCCCAGTGCTCACATTTTTTTGATAGGCAGAAAGAAAGCAGTCTGGATTTGATGGCGCTAGTCGAGTCTTAGTCCGAGAGCACTTTGCGAAGCTGTGCATCCTCACCACGCATGAGCCTAGAGTAAATCGCTGGTCAGGCGTGCGTTTCGTGAAATCCTATCATAGTAAGAAGTGTAGACTCCTGTTGGCCGCGGGTGCTCAGTAAAGGGTCCTGAAATAACCCTAAGTCAGTGTTTCTCAGTGGCAGGTCCCGCCTGGGTGCCCGACAAACTAAGTCTTGCAATTCGCTCAGAAGCATTTCGGGTTTTAGGGTAGGGTTCAGGACTTAGGGTTTATATTTCGCACAGACTAAGGATTATAACCTTCATCAAAAGCTCCCAACATGTCCAGCCATGAGACCCTTGAGCCCTAAACCCCGATCTTTCATCTTGCTATGACCTGACAACCTAAATCCCCCGAAACGCACACTGGGTAGGACATTCCCTGAACCCTAATCCCCACAGCCCTAAACCCCCAAACCACTAAAACACCCGTAAGCCCTAAACCCCTAAACCCTAACAACCTTGTAGCACTTTAGCACTGCTTGGGTTCCTCTTGGTCACATTACGGGAGCTCGAAACTGGACTCATAGTGGGGCCTATAGAGCCATGAAGGTAAAGTAACGTGGAAACCCAAAGAGGGTCCTACGAAAACTGGGATAGGCTACATCCTCCTAGGTTTTGGAGTTCAAGGCTTCAGGGTCAGGGTTTAAGGTTCAGGGTTTAAGGTTTAGGGTTTGGGGTGTAAGGAGCAGCTCACCGGGCGCATTGTCTTCGTGGGCCATGGAGCCTCTTGCCTCGGCGTGGCAGAGGCGCTGACGGCTGAGGTTTTAGGCTTCAAGCTTGTTGCTGGATCGGAATTGCATTGATTTTCTTGCCATTGGTTATTCCAGAACTTATCAAGAACATGAAATATGAATCCAAGCGTATCCTAATAAGGAACCAGTTTGCATCTTGAGTATAGGTTGGGGTTGGGTATTCGAAGAGGCTTTTTGCTTAGAGGTTTAGGCCTGAGGGCTTCGGGACTAGGACCCTGAAACTTAAGCCGTTACTTTAGGGATTGGAATTAGGGGTTCTTTCAGGGGTTAAGTCTATATTATATAGCTTGAGACAGTCGTGGGTTTAGGATTTCAATATATAGGAGTTTCCCAAACTGAGGGGTAATTACCTTCTTGGGAGTAACGATAATATGAATTATACAGTATTCTGGGGTATCTTGGGGTCCCGTACGTATGAAAACTACCATTCACTGTGTCGACATTTGTGCTTGGGGTTTATCGTTTTGGGACTCGCGCGTTGCTACATTTTGGGACTGTTTGCATGCATTCACGTTTTGTTGCACCTGCCAAGCAGTGGAAAAGCGAGTTGCAGTTTCAAGCCTCTATCGTCGACCTGTACAGTAGGGGCCTACGAAATGTTGAGACTGGTTTTACATGCTGATACGAGCATCACGCTTATATTAGCATGTGCCACCAAACCTCTTCTCCATATGCAGGTCCTTACATAACTCCAACAAAACCTTGATGGCCAAGAGTCCTGTCATGTGGATGTCATCAAGTTTGGGGCCCCTTCATAGACACCCAGCATAATGCAGGGTTTTAGGGTTTAAACCCTCAACCCTTGGCATGGTTAAGCTCCTGTCCTCAAAACATGGCGTCTTCTCAAGATGGGACGCCATTATTGCACTGGTGGTTAAGGGTTTAGGGTTTAGGAGGTTGCTGCAGCTGACAATGGGACCCGGGGTGTCTTCATGCACGATTCTACAGAGGCAATGTTTTTCAAATCCCATCTTTAAAGGGATTTTAATGGGAACCCCAAACAGGGAACCCTAAGAGTGTAGTACACAGGATATACCTACCAGGGTCCTTATCCCATTAAAGTCCCTTCAATCTCAAATCCTAAGCCTTAAACCCTCTTCCTGTGACCCTCGCCCAAAAAGGGGCCCCTTCGAGGCACCCGCACGACCTTCAACCCAAACCACCAAGAGGATCTAGAAATTAGATTCTCTAAGCTCGAAGTCTTACACTACATTAAAAAAGTCAACACCACACCCAGTATATAGGGGTTAACATGGGCTTATATGGGCTCTCCCAAAATTAGGTGTACCCTCTTTGGGGCTCCTCAGAATAAGGATTGTAGTATTCTGGGGTCCATACTTGGGTCCCCTTGTTTTGAGAAAATATCATGTAGGGTTTAACATGGGCTTATAAACCCTAAACTCCTGCACCCTTGGATCCTAAGCCCTAAGCCCCCATATAATAGGAGATCTAAAGTTTCAGATCCTCCCTAAACCCTCCAAAAACCCTAAACCCTAAAACTTTCAAGCCCGGATAAACACAAATTTATAGGGTAAAAGCAACACGAAAAACTCGGCCGACACCCAGTCACTAAAAAACCCGACCTGAACCCTATACAGTGTGTATAAACCCTAAACCCGCGACCCTAAACTCTAAACCCTAAGCCCTATATCCTAAGCCCTAAAACCCTAAACTAAACCCTGAACCTGAAACCCGAAACCCTAAACCAGGGGAGCTCTTTACTTGCCAGGCCTTCGGCCAGCACGGCTACGTTGCTTGGGTCTGGAACAGGATTTGCATTATTCTTCATAGTAATATGAGGCTTAATTTAGGGCCTAGGGTTTAGGACTTAGGGTTTAGGGTTTAGGGCGTAGGGTTTGCATTCAGGCTTTTTTTTGGCAACCCCACACCTAATATGAAACATGTGCCTGACATATAGAAGGTCTTCTTTTGGGGGAAGATTTTTTTTGAAGGGGTGGGGGGGGGGTGCATTTAACATGAGTTTTAGAAGGTATGCGACCAAAATGCATGGCTTTGGGTAGATTATAAAAAGATCCCCCCCATACCCCCATATTCTATCCCTTAACCTTAAACCCTAAACCCTAATAAGATCCCCATATACCCCATATTCTATCTACTTAAGGGGCACTATACCCTAAACCCTAAACCCTATCTACTCCAGGGGGTTTGTACCTGTGTTGGACTCGGAAAAGCCAATTTGGCATGCTTAGCTCTGTTTGTTTCTGCGCAACCTCCGCCCTGAAACCTAATTTCCCCCTCAGGTAGATAGAATATAGGGTTTAGGGACCCTTTGGGGCCCCTTAAGTAATCTGATATAGGGTATATGGGGATTTTTTTAACCCTAAACCCTCAACCCTATAATTGACCCGAAGCCCTATTTCTATCTACTTAAGGGGGATGATAAACCTTGACTTCCAGACAGTGGGACCTCTGAATCTTCAGCCTACGACCTAAAACCCTATAATCTAAACTCCTTAAAGGGGGTCATATAGGGGATTACTATAGGGGACTAAGATAGGGGTTATTAAGGGGGATACTAGGAGTTTGGGGCTATTATTTTACATATTTTTTGGGGTTCAGGTAAACCCTAAATCTTAGGGTGCGGGGTCTAAAGCTGAGAGCTGAGGGTTCTTGAAGTTCAGCGTGCAGGATTTAGGATGTCGGACTTCAGGGCAGGATGCCGGGTTAGGCCCCGAGACTTGGGAGATCTACAGTTTTTTGGATTTAGGGCTTGGGGTTTTGGGTTTAGGGTTAGGGTTTAAGGTTTGGGATTTAGGGTTTAGGGTTTGGGGTTTGGTGTTTGGGGTTCAGGTTTTCTGGGTCACCCTACGTCACTACCCCCCGCTAGGTTCCCATAAAGAGCTCCAACGGAGTCGTCTAAGGTCGGCTACACGAGCTTGACGCACTTCGTGCGTGATGGCACTTCGTGGAAGGCCCCGGCTGAACGACTTTCTGCTTTTGCTGCATATCGTACTCCCCATAAATAGACCCAAGAGTAGACCCATTATACCACAATCTTTACTATGGGGACCCCAAAAACAGGCCCCTAATTCGTGGAAAACCCCATATTGCAGCCCAACATACCTTTTTTCCCCAACACACGCAACCCAGAGAATTATGCACGAACTGGCGATCATGACTATCAAGGATTTTGCCACTACCCGTCCCCCACCCCCCTACTCCCCCCAAGTTTCCCCCCTAACGAAGATTATCCAGGGATGATTCAGGTTAATCTAGAGGGGTGTACAGGGGAACCCTAGACCCTTAACCCTAAACCAGTTGGGGGAACCAATGATACTATCCTGGCCATGACAACCCAGTAATCACTAAACCCTTACAGTCCCTCGTAAGTAGATGGAATATGGCTTTGGGTATGTTTTAAACAAGATACCCATATATCTCATATTCTATCTACTTAAGGGAGACTATAACCCTCAAGATCGAAGTTGGAAACTCGAAGCCTAAAAAGATGGTCAACCTTTTCCTGCCTGGGGGGCTCGAGACCTAAGCTGAGACCCTAAAACCCTAAACACCCTAAACCCTATAACCTAGGTTTAGGGTTGGGGTTAGGGTTTAGGGTTTAGGGTTCTAAAGCCCTATACCCTAAAACCCTTAAACTCTAAACCCTGAACACTGTCAATCCAGGGGGGGACCAGTGTAACTCCCCGGATTTCAGGTACAGAAGGCACACGATCTGCTATTCAGCGTTGAAGTTTTAGACCCGGGGAATCTTGACAACAAATTGTTTCGAGCTTACTTACTACAAGCCCCAATAACCACCTAAACATCCTCAACCCTAAGCCCTAAACCCTTTGGATTTCCGAGCGGCCAAATGGATGGTGAGGGATTTCTGACATGAGCAACTGCAAATCAAGAGATAGTCAACCCCTTAAAGACGTAAACCCTAAAACCTTAACGGAACCAAGCCTTTAGTTGTTTGGGCCTCCAGACCCAACAATGTGGAGTTTTGATGGCATCGGTGAGTTGGTTCCTTTGCCCATGTTAGTTTTTAGGTTCAGAATGCGGGGTTCCAGGCTTTAAGTTCCTATAACTATAGCACAAAAAAGTTGAAACCTACTGGCGCACATCATAAACTCGACCCCGAAGGCGCAGAAGTCATAAATCCCCAAAGCTCTCAACCTTCAATCGCCAAGCTTTAGATGCTAACCCCACTATCTCTCATGCCCCTGAACCCCAAACCTTAACCATCTCCCCTGTCTACCATGTGCTGCACTAGGTGCAGGGGCGCTTCAACGATGTGGCACACCTCTCCGTGTCATGGCACAGAAGTCAGCTATCTAAAGCAAGCATGGGTTGGTATGGGTTACCTGAACCCCTAAACATACCATGACCCAATGGATTCGATCGATCCTGATTCTTGGATTCGACAGTACACAGAGTCCAATCCCCTTCATCTTCTCCTTAATATACTATAATAGTTTCCATCTTATTTCCATTATCCCAATACAACCCCAACATATTATTGCAGTTTCCATTTTTGCCAGCTCCCACTTACCTCCTCCCACCTACCTCCCACTTCCCGTTCCACCCTCCCACCTCATGACACCTCTCACCACCCTTGGCAGAATTAACATGCAAAGCCTTTCGCTGTTTGCCTGCTTGACAGTGGGCTGCTAGTGATAGGGAGCGGGAAAGGGAGCAGAGGGGCGGAATCACGCTGGAATGAATAGAGGCGAGTGGCCATTGGTTGACATTTTTGAAGCGCAGCACATGTGCAATCGACAGTATGAACCAAAGACTGACAGAACAACGGCGAAAAGTCTACATGTTGGAGGTCTGGGGCAGCTGACTCATTTGACGCGAAGGGCACAAATCCTTCACAACAACTTGGGTGACTAGCTGCGTCAACACCTTGCCGGATGTATCGCCAGCTTTTACAGGACATGTGCGAGGCTATCACAAGCTTGTATGCCTCCCGGCCGAAACGTAAGGGTTCTCACAGAATCGTGGTGATTTGTTGATTTCCGTACTCTGTTTCCAGGAAACTGAACCCGAGCAAGCTGAGGGCCACTCAAATTGGCCGCTAGGGCTTGTTGCACAAGAGCTGGCGACTTATATGCAGGCACTTTCCCCTGAAGAATTGTCTCGGTGGGCAGCTGCGAGGCTATGCCTGCATGCTACCGGCGCAGATCACATCTCCGTAATATAGGGGCCTAAATAATTACCAATATTATGGTTCCATATTCCTTGTAGAATATTAGTAGATGGTACCTCAAATGGACCTCAAGATGATATTGGTATTTATTTAGGCCCCTGTAGTATTGAATTAGTTGTTGGAACATGGAACTGTTCGCTAGCAGGTTTGCACTGGCATTGTATGCTGAAGTGCAAGCAAAATCAGGACACATCTGTGAGCAGCTTCCTGCATTTACATGAGAGAGCAGAAAACTAGCCCCACCATCGTTCAAGCCTCCCACCCTGCCACTCTGCCACCCTCCACTCTCCCTCAACAATACTTTTATCCCATACCGCAATGTATTGACCGAACCGAACCGGTCTGTATCTGCAGAATATCGAAACTCCCACGCTCCCACCTCCCATCCTTCACTGGAGGACAGATCCAGCCTCCCACCCTCCCACCCTCCCACCCCCACCCCTCCCCCGCTGATACATCACAATCGCTGATGAAGTGGAGAAGCCCGCGCAAGAAGTTGCCAAGGACACAATGAAAGATGATTTGTCTTTTGGGAGGCGTTGAGGAGTGGAGGGGTACAGGTGCAAGGGTTGAGATGCCAGGGGTGGAGGTGTTAGGGTGGAGCGGAAACAGGGTGAGTAGTATGTTTTTTGGGGATACAATGGTACCCATTATAGAGTAAGATTCTATCCTCCTTTTGGGTTATAGTATTTTATATAAGGAATATTATCGTACTAGGTTTAACCACTAACAAAACACTACTCAGGTGGGGGGTGGGCAGACATTGCGGATCTGGTCGCCCCGACCTTCGATCCCGTTTCAACATTGGTGCAGGATTGATCGGCTGAGCAGGTCACATATATATATATATATATGTATATGTACATACGGGTGGTTGTCAAGATTATGGTCCCTTTTTGGATCCCTGTAATACTACGGCACCTCATATTTATTAGGGTAATTACCCAAAAAGGGACCATAATTTTGACATCCACCCATAAATATATATATATATATACACATGTATATATATATATGTATATACAAGGCAAGAGCTGTTTCAGGAGTCTCTGGCCATTATTTTACCTACTTCGGGGGTTTGGGTAGGATCTCCAAGTCCCTTGTCTACCCCTCGTTTCTTCATCCGCATTATCCACACTCTCAAGCAAGGGACACCTAGTGTTTGGAAGCGCCACATCTACAGGAACAAAGGCGCAAAGGGCTTGGGACCAGTGCGTGGGGCGTGGGGTTGAGGGATTAGGCTCTGGGGGTTGGGAGCACAGCATTGGCTTCAGGTTGTTTATACCCTAACCCTAAACCGTGGCTTCTCTGCAGTTTTACCGACTAGCTTACGACCCCATGCCTGCCTCAGAGTACTTTGTATTGTATACTCGCGTGAAATCTGCAGCTACAAGCGACATGAATGTTTTTCACTGTTTTTCGGAGCTTGCAGACATGCAGATTAGATCCATCGGAAACCGCTTTTGATATGACCGGGTTTAGGGTTTGTGGCTTGCAGGCTATCAGCATCAGTGCTGTTTTTTCTTTGCCATGGTGTTGCAATAATACTTTGCAAGCCATAGATTGAACGTCCTACCACGTCATGCTAGCTCCAGCACTGGATATGGGAAATACCCTAAACCCTAAACCCCTCAACCCTCAATTCCTAAACCCCTAAACCGTAAACTCCAAAACATTAAACCCATATGAGCTACTGTCTAAACTCCTGGTATCCCCCTTAGTAACCCCTATAGTAGTCCCCTATATAATCCCCCATAAAACTCCTTTTAGGAGTTTAGACTATAGCTCATAAAACCCACCCTAGAAGCCCAGGTACCCATATAGTAGGCCCTTGGGTTGTAGATAGTACAAATTTATGTAGGGACTTAAGGACAGGAACCCAATAAATAGGTAACTGGGCTTCTAGGGCCATATGTAAGCCTCTAGCCCTAATCTCAGGACCAGGAAACGTCGCTCGCCAGCGCATTCTGACGCGGAAAAATGCCTCCGAGGTTGCAACTAGCTGCCCAAAGGCTATGGTTTAGGGTTTAGAGTTTAGGGTTTAGGGTTTGGGGTTTGGGGTTTAGGGTTTAGGGTTTGGGATTTAGGGTTCAAGATCGATTTGAGCCATAGTCTAAACTCTTTGTAAGGGATTATGCAGGGGACTACTACAAAGGTTATTAAAGGAGATACTAGGAAAGCTCATATTGGCTTGAGGCTTTTTTTTGGGGGGGATGGTTGTGCGTGAGTTGTAAGGAGGCCCTACAGAGCGTTCTACCCAGCACGTTTTGTTGGCAGGGCTGAGACATTGGGCCGAAGAGCCGGCCATTAACAGAGTTGTAGGGTTTAGGGTTTAGGGGTTTCAAGTATGGGTTCCTTCCACTGGCATCCGGCGTGCTAGGAGGGACCCCAAAAACGGAACATATGTTGTATAACAACTCATATCCCACTAAAATCTGGCATTGCTGCCTTTGAAGCTGAATCACTGCCCCGGAAAAGCTTGATTGCATGTGGAATGCCTGCTCACTGCACTTAGCCTTCTACTGGGTTGCTGTTAAG